TCCTTCTCCATCTTTGTCCAGTCTCTCAGTCAGATGTTTCTCCTCCTCTGTTCAGGTCTTCTCCATGTGGAGCCATGATGCAGACATAGATAGACACAGTCCAGAGGTCCAGAACTGAGAAGGTTCTGCTGCTCTCAGCTCGTTGTAGAACCATGTTCATGCAGGTGGACTGATGGGAACCACAGCTGGACTCACTTTGTTTTTTCTATTTTGGGGCCTGAATTTGTAATTTACTCTTCATGAAGTTTGTGCTTTTGATTGTTCGGAGGAAACACTTTCCTCCACTTAGACGTAAAGCAGCTACTCAGAGGTGGTACCGGTCAGAACTATTTGACATGTAGGTCTTCTCACTTCTCTTGTTTACTGCATTTTCTAGTCATGAAGGACTTTAAAAGGAATCTAAGTCGAATCTAAAACAGAGGTGCAGTCGGTGTGGAGTCATGAAATCAGAGGTTTGAATCAGGAATCTGATTGGACAGTGAATGAATTCATTGATTTAAAGAGAAAAGATTGACAAAAATAAACACGTTGATATCAGGGTGGGCAGTTTCCAAAAACATCTTAACTTTGAGAACATGTAGAGTTTGACCCGAAGCGTGTGGACTCAGTTCTCTGGATCTGAACGATGGTCAGTTGTTCTGATCCAGCAGCAACATGGACTCAGGAACTAAAACCAGGTGAAAACAAGTTCAGCTACAGCTGAGCCACCGCTGGTTTAACTCATGAGTCATGTTGGATCAGTGGAGGAGAAGCTGGTCCATCCTGGAGACACTGAACCTGTAGAACATCACTGACCGGGTTAGCGAAGCAGGAGGCCGGTGGACCCGAGCGTCGCCAGCTAACCTTGTCTGCAGTCTTAGAATAAGTTGTCAGATTGTGTGTTTGCAGCTTGTGTTCCTTCGTCTGGAAGCTAGTCGCTGTGAGACGTTGTTTTGTGTTGAAGATGTGCCTGGTCTCTGCAACCTGACTGTTAGCTAAACACTGTAGCCATAGCAGAGCTGGAGAAGGTCTGAAGAGCAGCTCTGAACCCTCAGACCTGCCGGCTGGGCTGGAGAAGGCCTGTTTTGTTCAATAAAAAACACCAAAAAGATGCCTTTTATCAGCCAGAAGCTGTAAAAATGGAAAGAATCTTGAAACTCTTTTGGGAAAATTAACAAAATCCGAGCTTAAAGTTTCAGTATTTCATCAGGAATCTGTTAAAAGAAATGTCTTCATGAAGAAACCATCTTAAAAAAGGTTCATTGTAAACCTGGAAGCACCGTGTGTCTCAGACTGCAGCCGCTCTGTCTTCATTAGTTCATTTACATTTTTATTTCCTGTTGAAACTCGTCTCTGGTTTGTTGTCTCAGCTTCAGAATTTTTTTCAAAGGGTTGATTTTTGGTGAGTTTGTAAATGTGTTGAGTGAAGAGATTTTAATTAAATGTTCGTTTTATCTCACGTTTGATGAATTTTCTGGCTGAAGCAGCAGATGATGGGTTCAAGGACCATCAGGAAGTTTGTTGTCTCTTTGGTTCTGGACGGGAAATTGTGATTTCTTTTCAGCCAACTCCACAGAAGGTCCAATAATCTCCACCTGTTTCCTTCTGTCTCTAACTGATGACCATGAAGATAGATCTGCTCGGTTTCCCGTCGACCAGATTGTTGTGAAGCAGAACCAGCAGCTTCATCAGACCAGAGCAGAACAATCGGCTCTTCAAACCTCCACAGAACCGACGTGAACGGACTCAGAGTCCAGCTGCTGCTTCCTGTGGTTGGTCCCGTCATCAGTCTGTAGACGTTCTCCTCCTTCTGTTCTGTGTTAGAGCTTCTGTTGGTGAATAAATCGGAGCTCTGACATGAACCCGGCTGACGTTTGTGCCTGGACCAGCACCACACTCACCGGTCCAGCAGCTCCATCCAGCTTCAGGTGAGACTCAGCAGGAAGCAGGTTTCAGTCAACGTGAAGCTTCAACGTCATTTTCAGACCAAATGCAGAATAAACGTGCAGAAAACAAACTTTGTGTTGAAGTTCAGGCGTTCCTGTTGTCACGACGTCTCAATTAGAGCTGAGCATGAAACATCCCATAATGATCAGTGAACCTGAACACGGCATCGTTTACCTGAGCTCAGGTGTGTTCAACAGAGTCAGGAAACGGAAACATCACAAATCTGCTTTCAATCATCAAAACCACAAACAAACGTTCACTTTGCTGCACGAACAAGTTTTTATTATTTTAATCGCATTTCGATTCATCAGCTTAAAACACAGCAAAAGTTTGATGCTTCAGAAAAACAGCTGAAGGATCCGTTTGTCCTGTGTTGGACTTTAAATACAGTCTTTATTTCATATATATATATATATANCTGACCTTTCTCAGTGACCTTAAAAAGTCCAGACGCTGCTGTGCCTTTTTCACCAGGGCATTGGTGTTGGTCCCATGGAAGGTCCTGAGAGATGTATGATCCCAGGAACCTGAAGTCACCGACCCTCCTCCGCCTGAAGTCCAGCACCAAGTCCTTAGTCTTTGAGGAGTTGAGTGCCAGGTTATTGAGGGAACACCAGGTAGTGAGGTTCAGGACCTCCTCTCTGTTGGCCGTCTCATCGCTGTTGTGAATCAACCCAACCACAGTCGTGTCATCTGCAAACCTGACAAAGATGTTGCTGCTGTGGGCTGGTGCCCGGTGGTGGGTGTCCAGGGTGCACAGCATGGGGCCGAGCACACCGCCCTGAGGGGCCCCAGTGCTCACTGTCAGCACTGAGGAGTGGTGGAGCCCCAACCTGACTGACTGCAGACGGCTGGTGAGAACGTCTCTGATCCATGTGCAGGTGTGCTCGCTGGTTCCCAGACTGCAGTTTGAACAGCAGTCTGCTTGGAACAAGCGTGTTAAAAGCAGGACTGAAGTCCACAAACAACATCCTCACATAACTGCCAGAGTGTGCAAGATGTTGACTCACTGTGTGGAGGGCTGTGTTGATGGCATCACCTGTGGACCTGTTGGCTCTGGATGCCAGTTGGTGCTGATCAAGGCTGGGAGGCAGGAAGGATTTTATGTGCCCCAGCACCAGTCTCTCAGAGCACTTCATCACAGGTGAAGTGAGAGCTACAGGTCTGTAGCCATTCAGACTGCTGACCGACTGTCTCTTGGGGATGGGCACGATGGTGGCAGATTGTAGGCAGCTGGGGACTGTGCAGGCAGCCAGTGAGAGGTTAAAGATGGAAGTAAAAACCTCTGCCAGGGCGCCCGTATAGCTCACCTGGTTGAGCGGGCGACCCATGAACAGGGGCTACAGTCCCCGACGCAGCGGTTGTGAGTTCGAGTCCTGCTCATGACCCTTTGCTGCAGGTCTCTCCCTCATTCTTCTACCCCCTTTCCTGTCTCCCTCTCTACTGCTCTAAATAAAGGCAAAAGCCCAAAAAAATATATTTAAAAAAAAAAAAAACCTCTGCCAGCTGGTCTGCACAGCCCCTCAGTACCCTCCCCTGGACACCATCAGGACCAGCAGCCTTCGATGGGTTCACATCCCGGAGCACCTTCCTGACCTCCTCCGTGCTCACAGTGAGGGCCAGGTTGTCAGCAGGTGGCAGCGTGGGGGCATCCTCCTCCTCGCTCACTGCAAACCCAGCAAAGAACTGATGTAGCTCCTCTGCTGGGCTTGTGCTGGTGCTGGTGGTGGCAGCAAAGTAGTTGACTGTCCGTGGAGTCATTGTAGGAGGACGACCACTGCAGCCCTGATCAGTGCTGCTGTGGCTCCTTCTGGACCTCCTGGTTCCTGCTCACACTGGGCTGCACTGGGTTCTAGCTGCTCACTGGTCTTCTGGATCCTTCTCCATCTTTGNGGTGGCAGCGTCATGATGAAGCACGGTGGTGGCAGCGTCATGATGTGGGGATCTTCTCAGCAGCAGCCTGGAAGGCTTGTGAAGGCAGACCTGATGCAGTCACTTATTTTTTATTATATATTTTTATTTCTGTTTATTATCCGTTTTTCACTTTGACACAAAAGAGTTTTTTTTTTTTTTTTGTAAATTCTTACCAACAAAAAGCCAAGTTAAATTGATAATGATTAATTGTTGGAAGCAATAAAAGAGAAAACCGTGCAGGAGGGTGAATCCTCCTCCAGACTGTTCATGTGGCGGCTCAGCTGTGGTTCTGAGATACAACAGCAGCAGTTGTGTAACTCTCAGCTCTCAGGGGGACTAAATTATTTTCAGCAAACACTCTGAGGACATCAGAAGGTGCAAAACGCTGCCTGTTATCCAGCTGAGCTATTTCAGAAGCAGGAATCCTCAGCGGGAGCAGAAGAACATGAAGCTCCTGAGAGGATTTACAGTTTGTTAGAACAGCTCAGAAACAGGCAGCAGGCCGAGAGGCTGCAATTTACACCTCAACAGCCTCGATGGCGGGAAGGTCGGCTTTCCTACAGCCACAGAAAATAATCAGCATGAAAACGCTGTAGAACATCTGCTCAGCTGGTCGGCGGTCGGAAGGAAGATAAAATCCGGAGGAGTAGTTCTAAAATGATAATGAGCCCAAAGCAGAGGAGGTGAACTAAAAGCAGACTGAACCTGGTTTAAAGCTGCAGGTTCTGGTTTCAGTTCCAAACACCTGACGTCCATCATGTCCTTCATGTGATTTTACACGCTGTGAAACTCTGCTGTGCAACATGATTCATGAACCAATCAAAGCTCAGATGAAGGAGGCTAATTAACGCAGAACTTTCAGCTCAGATGTGTAGACCCTAATTGTGTGTGTTTGTGTTCTCTGTAGGTATGATGAGTGTGTCGGAACTGGTTCCGCTCAGATCTACCTTCCTACCGACGACCCGCCTCCTTACTCCCTTCTGGACCCCTGCCAGGTGGCACCAGAGCATGAGGAGGAGCTTCCTGGTGACTCTGGTCCAGACCCGCCTCCTCGCTGTGGGCGGAGCTCAGCCGGCGCCGCCTGGATTTCCCCGTCCCGCTACCCGGTGGCGCCGCTGGACCACCAGCACGTCGCCTCCATCTCCTTCCCACTGGAGGCAGTACCGCCGTATGAGGCAGTGCTGGCCGAGCAGGGGCAGCCCCTCCCCCTCGGGCCATGTGACCTTTACAAACACCAATCAGAGCGGAGGGACGACGGCCAGCAGCTGCCAGCCAGCAGCATCCTGTAGGACGCTAACGGCCTTCTACAGCTGTTGGACCGAACCAGCTGTCGGACTGAACCAGCTGTGGCACCAAACGGACTCTGATCAATGCACCTTCCTCACAGCTTCAGACATTCACCACCGATTGTTCTGGACGGAAAAAACACAGTTTCGCAGAAGGTTTGACCTCCACAGACAGAAACTCTGCTTCCTGTCGTATCGTCTTGTTCGGCCACGCCCTGACTGTTAGCGTCTCTGTCTCCTGTTAGAACTGATCTGAGAGCTCAGTGGCTTCCGGCTGAAGTCATGTGTTCATATGTTATAGATCACAGCAGCACGAGTTAGGGTTAGGGTTAGGGGGTTAGGGTCTGTGGAGGGTTAGGGTCCGTGGAGGGTTAGGGTTAGGGTCCGTGAAGAGTTAGGGTCTGTGGAGGACTAAGGTTTGTGGAGGGTTAGGGTCTGTGGAGGGTTAGGGTTTGTGGAGGGTTAGGGTTAGGGTTTGTGGAGGGTTAGGGTCTGTGGAGGGTTAGGGTTTGTGGAGGGTTAGGGTTAGGGTCTGTGGAGGGTTAGGGT